GGCTGATATCTGCTGAAAGTTTCCCAGAGTTCTGCCCTAAACAACTTTCAAAATTATTGGTTTGATTTATGCACGTGTTTTTAAATATACGGCTAGTCGCTAAGCAGTCGTTTTGAGGACCTCGAATTAAACCCTAAGGCACATCGGAACGAGCGTGTCTCGTAACCTGCTCTGCTGTCTTCCCTTTATTCAGTGACTAGGAGCTTAATATATTAATCGAAATACTGAAATGCGTTTTCGAGTAAGAAGGATTACTTAGGTATTAATAGTATTAATCATTGTGCAGCACATTCCCAAAATACTTTCGTCACTTCTGGATGCTGTCTTTGAACGCCGTTCTTACTTGGCTGTCTGCAAAAATCGCACACTGCTAAGAAAAAGTGCTTTATTGGTGTAAACCTTTTCCATTTATTTTACTTCCATCGTAAATACAAAAAATACTTTAATGGAAGCTGAAATTCTCCTTAATGTTTGTGGTCGAAAAAGTCCTACCTTTGGGTCTTGATGTTTTGTCATTCGTTTCTAAACCTGAAGCCGATATGCAGTTTATATATATGCAGTTTTATGTTGACTTTATTGTAAACTTCTTGTGGAATATCAATAAGTGGATAGTATAGAACAATATGAATGAACGTTACATGCTACCAGCAAAACTCATAATTGCAGACTTTTTAAACTGTGTCATACGATTTCTTGGAGGATATTATGTAAAGTAGACAGAATTTACTACCAAATGACTGTATGACATAACATTTGTATAACTCAACACATGCGGATCTGTGTAGGCATAGAAAGTAAATGAAAAGATACAAACAAGATAGGTAGCCATTAGATGATAAGTTTCGTTTTAGCAGACGTATATAAAGAAACGTGCCCGGGTGTGTTTGGAATAACTCGGCGTTGTGCTTTATGGTTATCAGTTGCAAAATCCCCTTAAATGAAAATCCTTAATCGGGTAAAAAAGAATGCGCGAGATCAGTTCCAAACCGTAGATAGAATGTTCAGCGGTGTCTTATGTAATGATTATTTTTGCAGATATCTATTCGAACAATCTCTCTAGAAGCATTGCAGGAGTCACAAGAGACGACGCCTCGTTTAACAGCACTCTTAATCGGTAGATTTAAGCGGGTATTTATGGCGTAAACTTTATGTGTTAGCACTTACGTGACCACTCAAGTGTGTATTCGCAATCGTAAAAATGGACCACGACGTTTACTAAGACAGTAAAGTGGTCTTTGAGGCAAAGCGAAAAGCAGTTATTTCGACTGCAGCAAAACGTTATCATTATTTTAAGGCAAGAACGAAAACCAGCCAAGAAGGCAATTTCCTATTCATTTTACTTTCAAAAGATTTAGAGCACAGTGAAATCACATTAAAGCAATTTAAATAAGCGGCTAATTAACGACATTTTTCAATCCACGTAATCATATTCGTGGTTGACTTCCGTCGTGCCCGTTAGTTTTTTAAACGGCGTTTGATATTGGCATGCGTCTACAAGTTTTATCCAATTAGTCTTGTACGTAAAAAACAACTTTTAGTACTTCACTATCTTGATAAACAGTTTCGAAAAACCTTGCTTTGCGCGTTGCCACTAACGCATAGCACAAAATTCGCCTGCTGGACAGTCCATTGTCTCAGGAAATTTCCGTCACGTGAGAAGGTCGGCTTTTGAATGCGTCTCCTTCAGGACACCTGCAAGAACTACACTCTCTGAAAAATAACTGCGCTTGGGGCCTGTTGGAAATTTGCACGAAAAACGTTCAATTTATGTTCAATAGACAGCTATACAGACAACTGGATGGAGTGGCAATAGGGAGTCCACTTGATCCAACCCTTGCCGACATTTGTGGGTCATTTAGGGGAAAAGTTGTCAGCAAAATTGAATATTAAAACACTGTACAAAAGATATGTAGACGACATTTTTGCTATTGTTGATAACGACTATGAAGCCGAAAACCTACTTGTTGCCATGAACAGTCTCCATCCTAAGATTAAATTCACGATAGAAAAGAAACAGTGCAACAAGCTTTCTTTCCTGGATGCCCTCATGAGTGGACAGGAAGCTGGTTTAATAAGAAGATCTGTTTTTCACAAGGATACATGGAAAGGCCAATACCTGCACTTCTTGAGCTTTGTGCCGATACAGCGAAAGCAAAATTTGGTTTACATTCTATTCCAAAGAGCAAGACACATTTGCTCTATTAAAACGCTGGATGATGAAATTTCTTTCCTCAAAACAGCCCTGCTTAAACGGGGATATCCAACACGATTCACCGACAAGTATAGCAACACTTTACGGCCAAAATTGAAGGAGTAATCTGTTCTGAAATAGCTCGTTATAATATCCTTACTCTTTAAGGGCGACAACATCTCTAGTACCATCAAGCGGCGATTGAGATGCGGTATTGAAAGAACTTACAACTCAGCTGAACTCATATTCTGCAGTCCTACCAAGGCTATCGTAGTCCTACGGGCAAAGGGCGTCTTGTCATTGCACGCCACGTCAAATTTTGTTTACGAATTTACAGGCGCTTGTGGATGCAAGTACACTGGGCAAACGCAAAGGTACCTGGCAGCCAGGTCAGTTGAGCATCTGCCAAAATGGCTTCTAAAGCAGGAGAACAAGACTCCGCGGTCTTCCATTACAAAATACCTCCTTGATAGTGGCCATTCGGTTGACCCTAAGACGTCTTTTCGAGTATTCGTTCGAGCACGAACTACTCGGTTATTGCGCTACCTGGAGGCAGCCTATATACGGCGGGAGAAACCCGACCTATGTAAACAGTTGGACCACGTGGTCAACCTCAGCTTGCCCTGGTAGACCCGAGCCCCTTTTGAGTTTCGAAATCCCTCGGCATGCCTAGTTCCCCATTTTCATTCATAAGTTGCATTTTGAAGTTACCATTTTATCGATTGGTTTACGCGCAGTACACGTTGACCTTGCTGTTTTACATCGATTTTCTCTGTCGAAATTCAAATCTTTGTACCTTTCTCGCTTGTTATTTCTGTTATGCAACGACCGGCAGCAGTTGAGAAGCCGTCGCAAAATTTTGTGGTACTATTAAATTCTGCTGTCCTTGCTTGCATTAAATTACGAATATGGCTCAAAAAATCTCACTGCGCTTAGCTCCGCGTGATAGCGAACTACATCACGCTATTTTGCTCACGAAGAATGACAGATTTGTCTCTGCCAGGTCATGCAGCATGAAACTTCACGGTTCGGTATAATTACCACTGTCAATAAGGCATCTCCGTCTTCATTACCCATAATTAATAGTGCTTTAGGAAAATTCCTCAATACCAACCGACATACTCTTCTCTTACAAAACACCTCCTTGATAGCGGTCATTCGGTTGACCCCAAAACATCTTTTTGAGTATTAGCTAGAGCACGAACAACTCGGTTACTGCGCTACCTGCAGGCAGTCTACATACGGCGGGAGAAACCGTACCTGTGTAGACAGTTAGACCACGTAGTCAACCTCCGCTTGCCCTAGTACATCTGAGCCCTTTTGATCTACGAAATCCCTCGGCGTGTTAACTTCTCCATTCTCTTTCCTAGGCTGCGTTTTGAAGTTACCATTTTATTGTTAGTCTACGTGCAGTATACGATGACTTTGCAGGTTTACAGTGATTTTCTCTGTTGAAGTTTAAACCTCTGTATCTTTCTCACTTGTTCTCTGTGTTATGCAACCACGGGGCTGTAGTTGCTAAGCTGTCACGAAATTTACTGGTACCAGGGAAATATTGCTTCATGTATTTTTGTTCTTGTTAATTTTAATGTCCGTACATATTCAACTTAATTTTATGGAAAACGGGCATGACGCCTTTTGTATTGAGATTATTTGGTCACCAATGATTTCTTCATCAAAGATTATAACTTAGGCAAAGGAGTCTGTCAGTTTCAAGAAAGTATTTGCTGTTTCCGCAAAGTGTTGAACTCAATTTGATGTTGCACCTCTGTGTAAGGAACTTCATACATGTCTAAATGCTATTAGGAGGACATCAGAAAATTTTGAGGTGAAGAGATCCGATGCGGCCAAACGGTGATTTTACGATCTTAAACATTTTTCAAAGAGAAACCTTATATAAATCGAGAAATACGCCCTCTTTATGAATAAAATCAGAAGAAGTCTTAATTTGGTATCAAATAATGCAAGAAAATACATTGCTCTGCTCATTTCCTCTTAAATGCGTTTGTTTTTACACGTGCATTGAAAATAAATCGGGAAAACTCTTCGTAATTTACTAGTTATTTTTTCATATCCTGATGTCTGCAGTCAGCTGAATAAAAGGTCAGTTAATGTCCGACAGTCTGACGTGACTGAAAGAAAGTTGCAGTACACCACACTGCCATCAATATTTCAGCCTTATTTAAGTAGTATCTTCTAAACAAAAACACCTTTTAGAATTTCGATTAAGACTTCACGAGACAGCACATCTACCGTGAATGCCGTTCGAGTTTCCACCAAACTCATCCTCACTGCGGACTCTTGCGTGTCTTGCGCCGAAGTAGTCGACAATTTCACAGAATCAGTCACCGAATCGATGTGATACTAACCTGCTGGGGATGCGTTGTGCAATCGGCAGATAGCATTTGATAATATCCGTCTTCGGAAAGCAGTCCCTGATTTTGATAAAACATCAAAAATTATGATTCAAACCACGCAGCTATTGAAACACTCGATCAGTTCAGCAGAGCGCAGTGCCGATGTAGGAATGGGACCTGCGACGCAAAACAATCCGTGGTATCAATTTATGCACTCTGAATCGATAGAAATATCACGCTAAAAATCAATTTCGAGCCTTTATTAACTGAAAACAACGGGTATTTGAGATAACTTTAGATATGTATCCACAGCCACCGTGCACGAACTCCTCTTCGCCGACGACTGCGCCCTGAACACCACCTCAGAAGTGGAGATGCAACGGAGCATGGACCTATTCTCCGCCGCCTGCTAGAACTTTGGGCTGGTTATCAACACGCAGAAGACGGTGGTGATGCATCAGCCGCCTCCCAGTTCAGCCACAGCCCCCAACGCGCCGCAAATAAACTTGAATGGGACTCAACTGCGAGTGGTAGAGAACTTCCCGTACCTGGGCAGCACGCTCTCTCGCAACACCAAGATCGACGACGAAGTCGCCAACAGGATCTCGAAAGCCAGTCAAGCCTTCGGTCGCCTCCAAAGCACAGTTTGGAATCGTCACGGTCTCCAACTGAGCACAAAGCTGAAGATGTACAAGGCCGTCATCCTGCCGACGCTACTGTACGGAGAGGAGACCTGGACGGTGTACACGAGGCAGGCACGTCGACTAAACCACTTCCACCTCAGCTGTCTCCGCCGCATCCTGAGGCTGAACTGGCAGGACCGCATCCCCGACACCGAAGTGCTGGAACGGACGGGAATTCTGAGCATCTACTCCATGTTGAGACAAATGCAGCTGCGCTGGAGCGGCCATCTGGTGCGCATGGACGACGAGCGACTACCCAAACGACTCTTCTACGGAGACGTCGCGACGGGTTCTCGTCGTCAAGGAGGCCAAATTCGCCGTTACAAAGATACTCTGAAGTCCTCCCTGAAGCGCCTGCACATCAACCCGACCAACTGGGAAGAGCTCGCACGCGATCGTCCGACATGGAGGAGAACAGTGAAGACGGGCACTGCTATCTACGAAGCCAACCGCATCGCCGCCGCCAAAGTGAAACGCGAAGTCCGCAAATCACAACTTTGCCCAATACGCAACGCCGCCGCACAACCTCTCCCTACGTGTCCTCGATGTCAACGGACATTCCGGGCACGAATCGGACTTGTTGGACATCTTCGAACCAACTGCACCTCTCGAACTGCTCCAGCCATCGTCCCCGCGCCCGCCTCTTCCTCGTCCTCTCTTCCGCCAAATAAATCTGACACTCCTTCTGCACCACCACTTCCATCCTCCTCCTTCTCCTCCACTGCCCCAGCGGTGGCCGTTCAGGCTGCCGTCTCACACATCGCCAACCACGACACAGCAACCGCAACCACCCCCACCTGCCCTCACTGCGACCGCACCTTCACCTCACACAACGGCCTGGTCGGTCACTTGCGAATCCATCGCACAGAGACTGGTGAACCAGTGCCTGGAGCACCAACCTACACCCATCGCACTCGCCTCCACTGCCCACAATGCCCTCGCACCTTCCGGCATCGCATGGGCTTATTTGGCCACATGCGCATCCACGAGAGCGGCATTGACCGCAATTCCGATACAGCCACGACATCCAACACGCCCAGACCCATCCTCGCCCCACCGTCACACGCGCCGACCACCACCACCGCCACCACCAACACCACTGCTTCCTCTACAGCTGACACCGACACCGCCGACCTCTCATGCCCGCACTGTCCACGCACCTTCACCTCACGCATCGGCCTGGTCGGTCACTTGCGAATCCATCGCACAGAGACTGGCGAACCAGTGCCTGGAGCACCAACCTACACCCACCGCACTCGCCTCCACTGCCCACACTGCCCTCGCACCTTCACGCATCGCATGGGTCTATTCGGCCACATGCGCATCCACAACGACCTGCGGTAGAAAACCGCCGGTCACACCACACATTCCCTCACTCCTTACCTCCTAACATCATCACCCCACTAGACGTCAACCCTCACACACCTCATGCACTCAACTGCCGCCTCCCACGCAAGTGGGAAGTGTGCATCTCAACTCGGTCCCCATGCGGCCTCGGCTGCACGAGTGACTTGAGTCCGAGACTATCCCGACACGTCAAGTGTCGTGGATAGGAAGGTTGCTGATTGACGCCCGTTCTCGGTTCATGCAGTTCGTCACGTTGTGTTTGTGTGTTTTGTAGTGGCGGACTGGTGGGCTGGGGACGGGCTGAAGCAGCACCTTCCACGGCCCTCTCACGCATGTGAGAGACACGCCGTTCAACCCCCGTTGTGTGAAATCCTGGTGTTTGTGTGTATGGGGGGGCCAGGTCGTGCTGTGGCGCGCGCAGGCATGGTCAGTCGACCATGTCAGCCACCGCGCCCAATCGAACTACTCCTACGAGAGAAGTACGACGAAACGGAGAATCGCCTCGGACACGCCCAAATCATCCAGCTCCTGAAGTTCTGTCTCAAGACGTACTTTACATTCGACGGAACAATCTACGAGCAGGTGAAGGGAACGCCAATGGGTTCGCCGATTTCGGGACTCATAGCCGAGGCGGTCCTTCAACGGCTGGAGTCGCTGGTTTTCCGACACCACAGACCGAAATTCTGGGCTCGGTATGTGGATGACACCTTCGTCGTCATCGAACGGGATCAGGTGCTGACTTTCAAAGAACAACTCAACGCCGTCTTCCCGGACATTCAATTTACGATGGAGGAGGAGGAAAACAATCAGCTGGCCTTCCTGGATGTCCTCGTCTGCCGCAAAGACTGTGGTGGCCTAAAAACCAAAGTGTTCAGGAAAGCGACAAATACGATGCAAATACTGAACTTCAATAGCAACCACCCGATCAGTCACAAACGCAGTTGCGTAAGGGCGCTATACCGGCGTGTTGAGACGCACTGCAGTGAAATGGAAGACAAGGTTGCTGAATTACAATATCTTCGACGGGACACTCGACGGGACCCGGCCATAATTTCAAATTTCAAGAGGCCGAAATCCTCGCAAGGGGTGACAACCGCGTGAGCCGCGAGCTGCTCGAGTCATGGTTCTCAGGCCCGCAATCCATCAACAAACACAATGACCTCCTGGTGGCCTATTCCGTATTGCGATTATCCCTGGGCAGGAGAATCAGTCACGTGGGGAGGGCGCGGGTGAGCAATTATCACGGTGACAGTGAGCCAGTTTGCCGAGCAATCGTCACACCAGCATCGAGCACGGATGACGAAATCGCGGCAATTAACACCTCGGACTCGGACCGCCAAGCCACCGCCGCATCAATTACGACCCCAGCGGCGATTGTGAGAACTGTTAATTGCAGTGCGCATACGGTCCCACGGCAGCCACGTGCTATAAATACTGCATTCCTGGTGCCACCTTTACCTCTATCTGCGAATGTCTCTGATGATGGGCTCGAGTGAGAACCCGAAACGTCAGGCCAATAAACTTCTTGTCCCAGTGATCGCATCTTCATCTTCTGAACTGCTACCTGGGACTCGCCTGTTCGCTTCTATCACCGCGCCCATTCCCGACTCCAGTCTACTGACCGGCTCGGACAGTGGCTGGGGTGTGGGAATGGGAAGGGAGAGTGAGGTCGACGACTCAGCGCATTTTCCTCACTATCAACAATCTGACGCGCTTGAAGCTATCACGGTGCGCTAAAAGCCGTGGCTTGGAAGGTTGCCAACTGACGGGGTACCTTGGACCTCCTCCATTACTGGAGGCGGTCTGAGAGTCAGGCTGCAATGGCTCCTTTTTAATGTGGTTTTTATGGCATTCCCACCACAGTGTGGGATCCGAGCCAGGCGTTGGCGGCACGCCCAGGTGCGGCTTCGGCCGTGCCAGCCTCCAAATCTCTGTTGTGTTGGTTGAAATCCTGGTTATTGTTGTGTGGACCAGGGGGTGTGGTGGAACGCCAAGGTGAGGATCCGTCCGAGCCATCCACCTGCGGCCTCCCTCGTCTCCGGTCTTCTTGACTCTGTCTTGACACCGGGCCCAGGCGGGGGAGGAGGAGAGAGTGTAGGTAGATGCTACGCAAGTCTACTGGCACTATAAACCCCTGCGTAAGTCACCGTCCCTGCTCCCACCGCTGCTGCAGCTTTGGGGCACACGGTGGATATCGTCGAAATCGACGGTCGAACTGTCAGATATGTATACAAGCCGGATCCAAATATGCCTTGTCGTAGAAGGACTGACTTGGTTATTTGAATGTCAGTTGACAGTCGATTCTTCGACTTCGGTTCTTTGTTTGGCGTTTGCGCACTTTACGTCGCTGTTCACAAACATAACATTCAACGAATGAGTTTGCATAAAGCTACCCTCGCAAATTTTTATTTAAGTGAATGTTATTATAACTCTGAACAGTTAATTCTGACTAGCACACACCTTCAGCCATACAGCTAACCATCTAATGCATAAAATCCATTAAGCTGCACAACCTCAATCTGGATTAACGACTGATGTTGCCATTGCATATATTATGAACAACTCTTTAAAATATTAATTTACACCAACAGTATATATTCACAGACATTTTCGACGCAAACAAGGAGCACAAGTATTCAAAAAACGGTGGATCGTGGTCCTTTCTCACGGTCACTGTAAAAAAAGTCCCAGCAACTGAAGGATTGCCAGCCAAATACACAGTGAAGATGTTCTTCCCCACACAGTCAACGCAAGATTGCTTTCCTGAAAACCCTCACTCCGTCTGACGTCTGAAAGTTAAAAAGAGTAGAATTTCAATTGATAAAAATAAGAATTTGGTTAATAGAATGAAAACAAAAGCATTCTTATCGACTACCTGGAACGGAATTTACAGTAAGTGACCGTTCTCATGAAATGTCGGCTAAAATTCTGAGATGCGCCTTCGATTAGAAAGGATTACTTAGGCGGGGTTGTAATACTGATTATTCTGCGGCATAATACTACCATATTTCGGACTCCGCAGGATGTCAGCGTTTAAATACACTGCTTTTCAAGCTCTTGTGGAAACTATAGTTGGTAAAAATGACTACTTAAGAATCATGTATTTTCCCAATTGATTTTCGAAGGTCTTTCGAATTCAAATATATTGCGTAGAAACCAAAAAACAAAAATATGCTTTCTTTCAGTCGTTAGCCAGAGAATCACGTCGGCTTTATATTTTATACTCGAAGAAGGAGTATATTAAAGTTTTAAAGAAGTTTCTAATTGTGGGATTTTTAGGACATGCAAAGTCCACTCATAGAGCATCTTACCTGTCCGGTTATTACTGCTCCACATAAAAAGTACAAACCGGTCCGCATTCATTGCAAAATTCCCTGGACCATGTCTGGTATCTTTTTAAAGGCACCGAAGAATATGTGATTTTCTTTACGCGGAACGCATGCACCTTGTAGACAAAATCCCTGAGCGCTAATGCAACGATTAATCAGCTTCCCAATAATTCACGAATTGGAAAACTTTTAAAACCTAAATATACTCCTTCTTCACGAAAACAATATAAAGCCGACGTGATTCTCTCTCTAAAAACTGAAAGAAAGCATATTCTTGTTTTTTGGTTTCTACGCAATATATTTAAATTTGCAAGACCATCGAAAATCAATGCGGAAAATACATGCTCCTTAATTAGTCACTTTCTACAAACTACAATTTGCATAGGAGATTGAAAAGAAGCGTATTTAAAAGCTGACATCCTGTCGAGTCAAATATATGGTAGTAATATGCTGCGGGATAATCAGTATTACAACCACACCTACGTAATTCTTCCTAATTGAAAGCGCATCTCAGAATTTTAGCCGATATTTCGTGAAATCGGTCACTCACTGTAGGTCGGTCGGTAACATCGAATAAAGTTGCGAGAATGTAAAGGTCAAAATAAATGTTCAAACCGTTCTTCATCCTCACCAAGTATTTACTTCGGCCTAAATATTAGATCCACACCCTATGCATTGAGTTGATCGATCCCTTGAGGAATAAACTTTGGCAACTGAGTAACTAGCATATTTTCGATTGGAAGTCACACGCAACTTGTCAATTCAGGCATCCTCCCCGTGATCTGTTTATCACTCAGGAGCCTTAAACGCTGGAACAGGGGAGATTCAAACTCGCTTTCAGTGGGTCAAGGGCACACGTTTCAATTTTTCGGTTTCAGTTTATATGAGGGAAACAGGTTTTGAAACTGTGAGCTCGCTGTTTGTTAAAAGGAAGCAAATTATTTAACAAATTTAAAAATGGAAGCATCAAACAGCTGCAGATGATTTTTTCCGATTGACAAAGTTTTCGGAATCAGTCGGATAAACGAATTGCTCAAAGTGTTGAAAACAGCAACATTACCAAGTGTGCTGTACAGCAGTCAGTCTATGGATAATAGGTGTGATCTCAGTTTATGAGGGAGACGAACTGAATGTCAACACCCACAGTTAATGGGCCTGGGACAAAAATAAAAAACTGAAATACAGGCAGTGTCAGAAACAACCACGCCCTCAGCTGAGATCCAGCCCAGTCCCTTACGATGGGTAATAGGCAATGTCTAGCCGTAAAACAGTCGGAACTGACCTAACCAGCGACCCTCATCATTTTCATTAATCCTGTAACTTTTGAGTTCTGTGCTGTCGCTGTCGTTGCAAAGCGTAAATAGATAGCTTTGTATAATGTGCTAAATCACGGGAGTGGGTAATGTGCTCTCCCACTGACCCAGTGCCAAGTCCTGCTTAAATTTGTTTTCCATAATACGGACTTCCAAATCACAGCCCAAATACCTTAGTTGGCTGCGAGTATTTAATCCAGATGTTGATCACCTATGTAAAAAATTATACTCGTGTCTGCGTGCAATTGGGTTGCTAGTTCCGCGAAATTATTCAGCAGCGTAGAAACACTCGTGTATTTAGCTAACTTATTTTCTTTGTTAGATATTTACGGGAAGTAGAAGGGGTTTTGGCGACGGTTATGCCCTATAATTGACAAGAATCAAAAGTTTGATTATCATATTATGCCATATCATTAAGACACTAAGCAACTGCATTCTACAGTCAAGCAAGAGCCCAGTACTAAAATTAACTCATTTGTATCCGAACGATGATTGAAATGAGGAAGGAAAAGCGGATCTGTGGAAGTGATGATCTAACTGTAGCCCGTCTCTTCCAGAAAGGACTTTAATTATAACATGAATTCACCCAGTCGACTGTGAATTATCCTAGGTGTACTCGATGAACGGGCCGTAGGACGTCATGGAACATAATGCTTTCTACAGCATTTTCCCATGAACGCGTTCAGTATCAAATATATCTGCCGCTTACCTATGCCGTACAAAGTTAAAAAAAGGTGGGGCTCAATTGATAAAAATGCGAATTGGGTTAAGAGAATGAAGACAAAAATCATTCTTATCGACTACCTGGTACGGAATTTAGGTCAGCCGGTAAGATCGAATAAAGTGGAGGGAATGTAGACTTCAGAATAGATTTTCAAATCATTTGCCATCCTCAGTAAGATTTTCCTTGAGCCCAAATAGTAGATCCACACTCTATGCATTACGTAGGTCCGTTCCTTGAGTGATAAACTTTTGTGAATGATTAATTTGCATATTTTACATTGGAAGTCACACGTAGCTTGTCAAATTAAGCATCCTCCCCGTGGTCAGACCATTACTCAAGAGCCCTAGACGCTGGAACACGGGAGATTCGAACTCGTTTTCAGTGGGTCAAGGCTATCCGTGTCAGAAACAACCACACTTTAAGCTGAGATCCAGCTCCAGCCCCTTACTATTGGTAATATGCAATGTCTAGCCGCAAAACAGTCGGAACAGACCATTACCAGCGACTATTATTATTTTCATTTCTCCTGTTGGGTCCTATGCTGTAGTTGTCGTTGGTTTAGACCCAAGATTGCGAAGCGTGAAGTGATAGCTTTGTATGGTGTGCCAAAACAAGGGAGTGGGTAATGTGCTCTCCCACTGACCCAGTGCCAAGTCCTGCTTAAATTTGTTTTCCATAATACGGACCTGCAAATCACAGCCCAAATACCTTAGTTGGCTGCGAGTATTTAATCCAGATGTTGATCACCTATGTAAAAAATTATACTCGTGTCTGCGTGCAATTGGGTTTCTAGTTCCGCTACATTATTCAGTAGCGTAGAAACGTTAATGTATTAAGTAAACATATTTTCTCTGTTAGATATTTACGTGAAGTAGAAAGGGTTTTCGCGACGTTTGCGCCTCATAGGTTACAAGAATCGGAAGTCTGATCATCAGATAATGCGATCCCGGTAAGACACTAAGCAGCTGCTTACTACAGTCATGCAAGGGCCCTGTACTAAAGTTTACTCATTAGTATCCGAACGATGATTAAGATGAGGAGGAAGATGCGGATCTGTGGAAGTGAGGATCTAAATGTAGCCTGCCTTTGCCAGTAAGGACTGTAATTAACGCATGATTTCACCTAATCTGCTGTGAATTATCCCATATGCACGCGGTGACCGGACCGTACAACGTGATGGTACATTATGTCCGTTACAAAATATTCCCATTAACTCAAGGACTAAATAAGATAAATGTGACTTTCTGCAAGATGTGGATCTGCCAGAGGAATATTTTCAGTAAATTTTCCTCTAATAAAATCAGCTTTGCAGATGAATTTCGGTACAGCAAAAAATAAGATGATTGAATAGGGTACGTCTTACTGATCCATCAATGTTATCCAATAAGTTAAAGGCGGGATTCGGAATAAAGTGCATAAAGCGCCATATTTGGCATGAGCGTAGGTACTTTTTCCGTATGACGGATAGTCTTACGACAAATATTAGGGTTCGCGTCCGAAAGCTGCCCTAGACTCAATCCTTATCCTAACATCAAACCGAACATAAACTAAATATTAAACCAAATGCTTATGGTGTGATTGCTTGTCAGCTGATATGCAATTCAGCCACCTCGCATGTAGTGCGTATCTTGATATTATGAACAGCTACATGCCGGTCTCTCTTGCATCCGTCCTTAAATTCGTTATTTCCTTAGTAGTTCGCGCCTGGCTTACGATTCTGGGATGTGAGACGACTACGTAAGTCGGGTTACATTCTAGGTGGATAGGTGACGCGCGTTCCCACTGATACAGTCACTTTTTGCCTGCATGTATTCACCATGATATGAGCCTGTAAATCACAGCCCAGATATTTCAGATGGGTCAGTGTTCATTTTGTGTGAATGGACTTATCCATGACAGAGGATGGCGCTCACTGATCGTTTTGACGGAACTCACTCCTCCCGTTGTGCATTACGGGCTCTCTCTCGATCCCAACCAGCAGCCGCACAGCGGCGCATGACATATGCAGAATTTTATTACCGGCAAAGACAAAGGAGACTGGAATGGCCATTCCTGGCTTAGTTGCCGTCGTCAGTCAGTCATGCCCAACCTCGAAGTTTGGAATACCTGGGGATTGACCTTGCGACCTAGTAAGTAGATGTCCACCGCCTCTAACCACTGAACCAAGGGGCTGATGTTCTGTCGGTTGCGATCGAAAATGCCCAATGAACTTATCCATGCCTTGCCGATCAGCATTGTGGCATCAAGTGGCCGACTGTTTTAAGGTGGGTATGATGGCAGACATGAAAGAAGTGGGAAATACTTGTTGACTTACCTCTTTCTCGGCATGCTCTGGTTGCTTTTTCACATTCTTCTTCAGTTAAAAAATTGTTTGCATTTCCGCCGCAACCGCTATATATGTATTCCTTGCATTTGCCGATCTTAGGGTCGTAGCCGTATCTGCCGTCAAATGAATCGCAAGTGCCGATCTCGAACGGCATGTGACAGATATCCAAAGCAACTGGAATATAAAAGTATAAAAGCAGTGAGGAGTAAATTTAAGACAGTTCAATTGATGCAATAAGATGTTTGGCTTCTGGAATAGCCAATGGAAGACTAGTGTCTCGTAAGTGCTATCTATTCCCTGAGGTAAGGGCCGCTTACGTTAACCGGCTCAAAAGTTCGGGTAGTTTAATCAGTCTCCCAGTAATGAACAATCAGAACAATCATATTTTGTACCAATGATATGGTTTTACTCTGATAGTCGCGGAGTATTTAAGGTATTTTGAGGAGAGAGACGAAAGCTCATTGCTCCCTAAAACACACACTTACCGTCGTCCGCTCCGAATGCACACGCAGCCATAAATAGGAGAATTAGCAGCGCCATTTTCTGTTCAAATGTCTTTTACTGCCTGAGATTCCTTTTTAACGAGATCACTTCACGCTATTTTTCAGCTTGATTACCTACCTCTTTTTGATGTCCAGCGGAGAGCTTTCTAATGTTTTTGTTCTACCCGACGCACACAGCCCTGTGCCGTCGTTGGCTACACGCATTCCAGAGTCGCAACAAAAGGCATTGATCCTCACACTAGAGGGAACAGAAGTTTCCTGTGTCTGTGTTTTGTCAGCTGGAAGCCTGGTTGAGCCGCGCTGCCTACAGTCAGTAGATGGCCACAAATATGTGTTGTTGCCACTGTGTTAGCGCCTGCCCCGGCATTGGCTCGAAGGCGCAGACCATTTTTTTCACTAGTTCGACATTTCACAGTCCTATCTCCTTGCGTTGAAAACCCAGACTGAAGGAGAAAAATTCAACTGGCGGGGAAAATGATTAGTGACGTGAGTGGGCCAAACATCAGCCGCTGCCTTGCGCGGTAGCCGGAAGTCGGCAAAAGTGCTATTAGCCATGTTAGCCATTACCAACATGGTAAACAGGGTTAGATCACAAAACAAGCAAGAGGCAATTAGAATTCGGCTTGAATGAACGTTCTGCCAGTCGTCTACGCAGTGTTCAACAAGGAAATTTCATTTAGATAATTTCCGTAATTCGGCCTAATTATCGAGTGGATAAAATCATTTATTGTCTAAAATTACCCTCATTACATAAATATATATATAAAGAGTAGGTGGGCTAAATTAAGAAATTGCAACCGATTCGAAATGCGTTTTCGTTTTGAGAAGATTAATTAAGCAGGATTTAAAAACTAGTCAGCCATCAAAATACTTCTAAAACAATTCAGTTACCTCAGGAAACCGGCTTTCGAATGAACCTCCTTCCGGCTGTATGCAAAAACGAAACTCTGTAAAAAACGTCTACTACTACAGCATCCACTTTTTTCATTGCTTTTTGATCTCCCGGAAAGTCCAATTACATTTCATGGAGAACATGCATAAAAATATTCATTCTTTTGATCATTTGGTTGAAAATCACGTCTTCTTCTAATTTTGTACTCAAAGGAGGGACATAATTCGGTTTAAATAAAGTTTCTAATTGTGGGACTTTTAAATGCCACGAAATCGCCGCTCATAAATCTTCCTCTCTCTCCATCTACCAGTTTCACTTGTAAAGTTAACAATATGGATCAAATCCACTTCTTAATTTTATGAATCCTATATGGTCCCCCTTTAATACCGTAGAGGAATGTTTGGTCTTCCGTACGCGGGAAATATACGGCGTGTAGTTTAGAAACCCTGATTCCAAGTGTAATGGTAGAGCGGATTCAAAATTATTCGAGAATTGGAAAGGTTTTTGAAAACCGTATAATACTCTTCCTTTGAGTAAAAGATTGAAAGATGAAGTAATTAACTACCGAATGAGCAAAGAAATGAATATTTTTGTGCATGTTTTCCATTAAATATAACTGAATTTTAAGGGCAGTAAAAATCAATGAAAAAAATCATGCTATTTAAGTAGTCGTTTTTGCAGAAAGAAGATCTTACACGCAGCCGGATGGAGGTTCATTCGAAAGCTGGCATCCTGGGGTAACTGAAATATTATAGAATTATGTGACAGGCTAAGTAGTTTTACAACCCCACTTAATTAATCTTTCTAAACGAAAATGCACTTCGGAATTTTGGTTGGCATTTCATGAAACATTTTTCACTGAACATTTTTTCTGAAGTCGGCAGATTAGAACAACACAGGCCGTCACTCAGACGGAAAAGAGCAAGCTATTCGGCTTTCTTGGTTCTTGCAAAATGCACACATTTTTAATCACAAAATGTGCAAGCCAAGCTAAAATATACCAAAACAACATCCTGACCAAACTCCCTGAGAATATCCAGAATATTCATTATAGTGTTCACAAAAATACCCGCTCACTTAGTGTTATTGGTATCCACAGTCGTTAATGATTAACTCATCGTGTAGGACATAACAATTTCCCTCTCTTAGATACTAATGTTGTAGGATATAGGTCGATTTCGTTGAAAACTCGCGCGCCTAATGCATCTGTTTATGATAGGATTGCTGGCCATTGATCCGAGTTGATTACCGCTAGCCAAACGGAGTTTTTCCACTTGAGCTCTGCGTCTAGAGCCCACGGAGGCGTCCTCGTTGTCCCTACCTTTAGCTGCGTTATTTTCTTTTAACTGTCACGCGTGTTAGAAAACATCCATTTTTCACAACAGCCGATTTTGTGGAGATTTGCCTAAGGATGTTTGCGTTGCATATTTTTTGTGTGCTGCCATGTCGACTGTGACTGCTTTTTCCCAATAATTTGCAGCTGCGTCTACTTTACTGTTGTTTTTGCACATTCACCAAGTGTTCATCAGTGGTGAGTATCAGTACGACTTTGGTTTTTCTGTAGGGGGATATAACCGGTATATAAGCAGACCCTAGCAGCACTCACGACTTTGAAATCGGCATGGACTGGCCGGATGAAACCAGGAAGCGGCTAGCGAAGGATGAAACGATAGTTTTCCTCTTCATTGGAAGCTAACAGCTTGTCTTACCGGCTTTTCCGGTACAATGAAACTGAGGACAGAAAGGCAAACAGGTGAGAGTACGCTTAATCACATACATTTCGTGTTCAACATTGAAAGGACTGCAGACCACTCAACAGAGCTTCAGTTTAAGCAATCATCCCAAAATGATATCAGAAAATTCAAGAAGTCAAGCCTAGCAAACGAACAGTAGGTGGGCTAACTCATGAGATGTCAACCGAAATTCCAAAATGCATTTTCGTTTCGAAAATATTGATCAAGTAAAGTTATAAAACTAATCATCGCACAGCATAATTCTATAATAATTCAGTTACCTCAGGATGCCGGCTTTCGAATGAACTCCCTTTCGCCTGCATGCAAATACCACGCTCTGTTAAAAATGACTACTTATATAACATGCATTTATCTCATTGACTTTCTATGCTCTTAAAAATTCGACTATATTTCAAGGAAAACATGCAAAAAATATTCATTATCTTACTCATTCGGTAGGAATTTATGTCTTCTTCCAATTTTATCCTCGAAGGGAGGATATAATTCGGTTTTCAAAAACTCTTTCAATTCCCGAATAATTTTGAACCCGACCTGCCGTTGCACAGGCATTCAGGGTTTCCAAACTACACGCCGTATATTTTCCTCGTATGGAAATCCATACATTTCTCTATATTAATGAGAGGAGACTGTATGTCTTCCATAAACTGAAGCAATGGAGTTGAGCCATATTGTTAACTTGACAACCCACATTCGTAAATGCTGAGACGTGACGGTTCATGAACGACCACTTCACATTATTAAAAATCTCACAATAAGAAACACTTTGAAAACCGAATTATACCCTTCCTTAGTGTATAAAATTGGAAGAAGACCTAAATTCCTATCCTATGAGTAAAAGTGCGAATATTTTATGCATGTTTTCCTTGAAATATAATTGAAATTTTAAGTGCATCGAAAATCAATGAGAAAATGCATGCTACTTAAGTAGTCATTTTTGCAGAATATAAATTTTGCATGTAACCGTAAAGAAGTTCATTCGAATGCCGAATTCCTGGGGTATCTGAATTATTATAGAATTATGCTATCCGATGATTAGTTTTACAACCTCACCTGACCAATATTTTCGAAACGAAAATGCATTTCGGAATTGTGTTTGACATTTCCTGAGTTAGCCGACTTACAGTACGTTATCGAGTATTCATCATCAGTTCTTCAAAATAATATAAGGGAGGGTAGGGAAGCAAAAGTCAAACAGCCAATAAAAGTCAATGGGAGAGAGAGAGGGTTGAGGAGCGTTCAGTGATCAGGTGTCAGAGTCTAGTTTTGTCAGAGGCTTAGGTGGGGCGGGAGGGGGTAGGTTTCATGCCAGTAGATATGCCCTGTTTTATTGCTATAACGCTACGTAGCAAGTGTGAATACACATGCTGGGTTTGTCTTTGCCCAGGGGGGCCTTAGAGCTTGTACAAACGCCTTAAGCGAGCACAAGGTTGGGATGGCTAACCCTATGGCCTCTGCCTCTGCCGTCATAAATATTCGCTGAGGCAGGAACTTGGAGTGTCTCTTCGAAACTTTATAAGGGACGCTGGATGCTTGGTTGGGGTACGCCCGGTGGTCGCTTTCAACCAAGTGAATCGCAGTTGCCCTAGACATGGACTTTTTCACATCTTTATTTAGCCAGTTAGGATGGTGCTCTCGCATCCGCTTGGATATGCGCCTAGTTGTTGCACAACTGGAACCTGCCCCACAGAAGCAAGCTAAGACGTGTGTGTACATTGGAAAAGTCTGGAAAGGAATTCAATCCTCAGGTTCAAAGCGAAGAAACAGAGTGCTTGTGAAAACCCATTCTAGCTTAGCGGCCGGATACATGTGCGCGGTGGCTGCGTTTAAACGACGATTTAAGAGTTCACTGGCCGGATCCCCTAAAAATGGCGGCATATATAAAAACTCCTTCTTCTAGGCCGTCGACCCGCCGACTAAACGGACCAATTAAATAATCACCGAGGTGAAGAATAACATTAATTGCAGATATGTGCAGCTCCCGACTCAAAGATTTGCCCAGCCTACCACATTCCATCCTTGCGCTCTCCAGGTTACTAACCACTGAAAACGCGCCCAATCAGGTTGAAGGACCGAAAGATCGCTACTGCAGTAACCCGCAATTCTGGCACAGCCGCAAATGTATAAACTTCGCGAGGAGCGTGAGATAACTACGCCTGCAGGTCAGAAACAGATGTTATCAGCAGTGACAGTACTGCAATGTTGAGAGCTTTTTTAATCCACGTGCGTACGGTCGTGCTCTTTGGTTACTGCGAGACAAGCAGGCCGTCTCTTCGCGGCAAAATCTCGTCCCTGGATTAGTGCATAATGCGGGTGAAGTGATGTAGCCAGCGTGATTTACCTGTGTGGAGGAAAACACTGGACGGTTTGGTTATTGCTTTTAAGCACGCCTCT